AGTTTTTCTAGTATGCTCACCTGTTTTTGCACCTCTGAAGTGTAATTGTACCACAGCCCTGACATGAACACTTGACGGCAGTTGCTGGGTTGGAGCCTAGACAAAAATATGAAGAACCATGGCTGCTGCCTGAGCCTATCATGCTGTAATTATAGAAAGCCTTCTAAAGGAAGAATATGCTGGTAAGTACCCCTTTTCATAAAAATCCTCCAAGTTAGCCCTCATTTTCCATGTAAGGAAACAGGCTTTGAGATGGTGTCTCCTAAGGGATAAAGCCAGGACTTGATCCTGTCTTAAAATGACAAAATGTATTCCTGTTCTGAAGACTAAGGGGGAAAAAAAAGAAAAATGCAAAATGTAGTACTTTTCCACCAAAGGTAGACATGTACTTAGTCTACCTTTGGCTGAGTATCAGAGTACTTTTTTTTTTTTTGAGATGGAGTTTCGCTGTTGTTACCCAGACTGGAGTGCAATGGCACGATCTCGGCTCACCGCAACCTCTGCCTTCTGGGTTCAAGCAATTCTCCTGCCTCAGCCTCCCAAGTAGCTGGGATTACAGGCGCGCACCACCATGCCCAGCTGATTTTTTGTATTTTTAGTAGAGACGGGGTTTCACCTTGTTGACCAGGATGGTCTCGATCTGTTGACCTCGTGATCCACCCACCTCGGCCTCCCAAAGTGCTGGGATTATAGGTATGAGCCACCGCACCCGGCCCAGAATACATTTTTAAAGCTGTCTAAGACTTAAACAGGCTGCACTAGGGGATGTAGAATTCTCCAGAATAGATGTGTTTGAGCAGAGGTTGAACAAGCTCCTGACAAGTTTGTTGCTAAGGAATTCAAGTATTGTATTGGAGTTGGGCTCAACTTTTAAAATTGCTTTTACCCTGAATTTTCAGGTTCTGGGGAATACGATAATTTTAGTTTTTCTGTATCTGATTCTGCACTTTTTCACTGAAGTGTAAAAAAAAGTGATCTTTTTATAAAGGCTTGGAAGGGGGCATAAAGGGTACTCCAGTGTGGCACCTTCATTTACAAATGAATACGCAGGCCCAGAGAGACTGAGTTAGTGGCGAAGCTGAGGCGAGAACACAGGCCTCCTGTTTCTTCCCCAGGTGACTTTCATCACAGAGTCTGTTGTTCTTAGTAAGTGGTCTAGCATTCCACTGCTCAGGCCGTTTCACTGGATCACTACTCATGCTAAGTGGTCTAGCATGCACCCAGCAGTCAGAGCCAGAAACCTGTTTGTCACATTGGATTCCTTCCTCATCCCTCATACAAAAGAGGCCATCAAGTCCTTTAGATTCCTCTTCCTTCATGTTTCTTAGTCTTCTTGTTATACTGTTTCTATACTGATACAGCCACTGTCAACCCTCCTCAAGCATGGCATTAGCCTCTGGATGAGCCGATCTGACCACACCAATTCCCCTGCTCAGGCTTTTTCAGTGGATCACTACTCTTCCCAAGATAAAGTCTAAACTCCTGTCCTGAAGGCTCTTCATGCCTCTGTTTCGTCTCCAGCTGCATACTCCCTGTCCCAAACTGTCTCTCTACTATTCCACCTGAACAGAATTCCCTGTAGTGTTTTTCTGTCACCTCTAGGCCTTTGCACCTGCTGAGCCTTGGAATGTGGTCCTCAGACTGTCTCCTATAGTTCCTTTCCTTCCATTCTTCAGGACTGGGCCTTGTTCTAGAACATATCTGTGTCTCTTATGGGCTTGGAACATTTCCTCTACGTTCCCACAGACTCCAATACTATATTCTTCACACATAGTATAGTATTTATTGATATTGCATTGCAGGTTCACAAACGCAAACTCCTTAAGAAAGGTAGGCAGGAAAAGTAAAGGAATAAAGTGGCCTACAAGATAATAGGAATTGAATAATCAGAGAGCACATTATCTGTTGGAGAAGGCAGTGCTATTCCATTGTACTCAGTTATTTTAATTTGTAAGTGTTGGCCTCGTCATGTCAGTTCTTCCCATCCTTTCAAAACAGCCAGAAATCTTCATTTTCATGGAAGAATACCCAACTGAAAACACCTTGGTAACTAAAGTAAATGGTAAAATTACTGAGTCAAACAAAACATGTCTCCAGATAGATTTGTGCCAATTTGCAACTTCTATATCCTCACTCTGTGTACATGTCTTATTTCTTCCAACTGATCTGTACCTGGACTGTAAGAATGTCTGTGCTGTATCCCCAGCACAACTCCTGGCACATGCCCAGCAAGGGAAGAATGATTCTGTGAATCCAGAGCAAATATAGAACCATAGCATGCTGCAAAAGCAAGCTTCTGAGATTCAGGTTTCTGAAAGGACTTTATATTTGCTTTGAGATGACTGAACTCAGCAAACACAATTATGGAGAAGAAAGGTACACACCTAGCACATTGCCAACTTCTTGTCTTAACCACTCAGGCTAGACATAAATTAAGAGTAGACAGCTTGAGGGCTGTGCTACCTACAAGCTGACTGAGAGGCTTTAATGATTAAGACACAGGACTAAGTACAGTGTCATGTGGAAAAACAGCTTCTCTTCAAACTCTACATATTTCCATCATTGACCATGTGCACCGGGTTCAAAAGTAGGGGCTATGTATTAGCAGGTTTTCTTAAAAGTTTAATAATGTCACTGATAGATACTTCTATATCTAAGAAGTTTATACTAAGTTCTCTTTATTGGAGACAACTCACTTAGGAAAAATTACTACACCCACACTGAATTCAACACCCACTGGAGCTGTCCCACATTTGACCAAAAAAAAAAGGACTGCATCACTAGAGAAACAGTCTGAATTTCATCAAACATCCCTCTTAGCTATACAGAGGGTTGGCTTTATCAGCCGAGGGAACAGATCTAGAAAGTCTGTCATCTGCAGAAAGGGCACCAAGCAGAACCTTCCAAGACTTCAGTGCTGGGTGTCGGGTCTGTGAAGCGCTCACTCTCTGGGCTTCTAGGGAGTAAGGAGGTGTATGCCATAAAAAAGGTGACATAGTGCTAGGTTCTAATCCTAGCTCTGCCACTTCCTTAGTAAACTTGGAAAAAAATAAATCCCTTCACTTTCCACACTGCTTCAGCTTTTCTTGCCAAGCTATATCTTAAGTTGCTGTCCAGTCTATGGATTGGTCCCTGTAGGTCAGAAGCCTAACTATGTAGTCAGGTGGCAGGATCGTGTGAAGCAAAAATAATCTTTCCAGTCCTGCTGCTCCAATGATGGCTGGGGTGGAGCAATTTTATTTAGTTATGGCTGTGATAAATACCATACCTAGTAAATGTCTAGGTAAAAGAGCTGCCAAGTAAATGTTTTTTCAGTGAATTAATGAACCTTGCATTTTTAAAGACTCAGCTTAAATATCATCTCCTTAGTGTTATCTTCCTTAGTTTTCATTCCGTCCTAGTAGGATAAATTAGTCTTTTCTTTGTGCCACCACTGGACCTAGTAACTATTGTAATATTAACATTGAATCATTATTGTTTACTTGTCTGTCTCTCATACAACATAATTCCTAAGGGCAGGAATTGTAGCTTTCATCCTTATTCCCCCAGGGCCCAATAAGTGGTCATAAGAAAATTAGTAATAGGCTGTCTGTGAATGGATATGAAAGAGAATTACTGAACAAATGAGTGAGATAGTTCCTTTGGGCTCCAACATTCTATGACTCTATGAAATAATAAGCTGCTATATTAAGAATCATAAAATGAAACTAGTTGGCTTTACAGAGTATCCCCATTGATAGAAAGATAAGGACAACAGTGGTTTAATGTATTGAGTCTTTACTACATGCCAGGCAGTGAGTTAATACTGAATACTTTCTATGACGTGCCTCATTTAATACCTACAATGACTCCAGGTACTGCTAATGTTATCCTGATCTGACAGATGAGAACAGTGAAACTGAGAAATTAAACAAATACCCAACCAGTGAGTGGCAGTGAGCTACAGTTCAAAGTCAAGGCTATTTAAACCAAAGCTCATAGTTCTTTAAAAAGAAACAAAAATTTAAAATAAGGTGATGCTGATAAATTGTAGTTCTCTCAGTCTATTCTAAGGCTTTACAAAGCCCACCTAAGAATTTAATAGAACAAAGACTATCTGAGCCAGTAGGAACCTTTAAAAGGCATCTAGGCCGGGCGCGGTGGCTCAAGCCTGTAATCCCAGCACTTTGGGAGGCTGAGGCGGGTGGATCACGAGGTCAAGAGATTGAGAACATCCTGGTCAACATGGTGAAACCCCGTCTCTACTAAAAATACAAAAAAATTAGCTGGGCATGGTAGCGCGTGCCTGTAATCCTAGCTACTCGGGAGGCTAAGGCAGGAGAATTGCCTGAACCCAGGAAATAGAGGTTGCGATGAGCCGAGATCGCGCCATTGCACTCCAGCCTGGGTAACCAGAGCGAAACTCCATCTCAAAAAAAAAAAAAAAAGGCATCTAGTCCAGCCCCAACATTTTATATTTGATTTTTTTTTTTGAGATGGAGTCTCACACTGTCACCCAGGTTGGAGTGCAATGGCTCCATCTCAGCTCACCGCAACTTCTCCCTCCTGGGTTCAAGTGCTCCTGCTGCTTTAGCCTCCTAAGTAGCTGGGATTATAGGCACGCACCACCACTCTCAGCTACTTTTTGTAGTTTTAATAGAGATGGGGTTTCACCATGTTGGCTAGGTTGGTCCGCCCACTTTGGCCTCCCGCCAAAGTGCTGGGATTACAGGTGTGAGCCACAGTGACAACCTGGCCTACAGTTAAAATTTGAAGCTCTAGTCTCAAGGTTCATTAGTAAAACAGCCTGTCTAGAACCAACTCCCAGTGCATACTCCTTCTACTGTTTCTGTTACTCAAATGTTCCCTAAGTTCATTCACTACAATATTAAACTTCTGTCTCCTCTTTTTTTCTTTTAGCACCCCCAAGGATAGGGACCTTGTCTTGGTCATCCCTGCATCTATGAGCAGGTGTCCAAAAATGCTTAGGGGAGGCTGGTTTGGAGAATGGTAAGTCATAGTCACAGGCAGAGGTGGTTAGTGATTTATTCGCCTCTTAAGGCCTCATCAGCAGGTGGAATGGAAGACACCTCCCACCCTGACCCCTTGGGCAACCAAGGCATTATACTCCTTCACTGCCTGCTCTGTCTGGAGGACCCGCACATCAATGCCATGTTTCTTGAGGTACTCCACAGTTGATGAAGGAACCTGGGAAGGAGGAAAAGAGATGAGTAAGTAGGGGGAAAGAAAGCCTCCAGGGCTTCCTTTCCTGCCATCAGGCAAGTGTACTCTACAGAATTAGACAGTGACAACTATCACTTCATGATCACTCAGTGTATCACCAATCGAAAATTTGGCGGTGAACCCCAGTGAGACAAAGAGGCCTCTTTGACAGAGGTAGCATGATACCCATGCATAAAGCTCAAGTGAAATGGAAATGAAAGAACATGGAATTTGCAGTTAGCCTTGGATTTATGTCCTTACTAGCACTGTAACCTTGGGTAAGTTAAATTCTCTGAGTCTTTGTTTACATGTCTGTAACTTAGGGATATTAACACCTAGCTCACAGGGTTGGTATGACAACTAGCTGAGCTAAGGATATGTGAAACATCTACCTTGGTGTACAAACACCATAAATGTTAAATGTTTGAGTTAGAATAAACTGAGTCTAAATTTCTTCTTTGCCATATATTAACCAAGAAACGTTAGGCTAGCTCTTTAAAGTGTCCAAGCCCCAATTTCTTCCCCTGTAAAATAGGTATAATAGTGCTTACATCACAGAGTTGGTGTGAGTATGAAATTGACTCATGTATGTACACTGTAGCAAATGTTTCTTGACCACCCCATAGTAGCCCTGCATAAGTCACCATTTTTGTCACTGCATTTATTATTATCTAAAGTAGTCTAGTTTTTTTTATCATCCATGAGAGGCATGAACCTTGTTTGTCTTATTGCACTGTCCCCAGTGCCTAGAAGAGTGCCTTACCCATAGAAAATGCTTAATAAATATTTGTAAATGAATTTATATAAAAGATATTCTTAATAGTGGCAACTGTTATTAGATGATTTTTTTTCAATTCTGGCTTGTCCTGAATATTTTTTTAGAATAGATTTTAATTAGACTCTGTCTCAGAAAGAACTCAAGTGAAGTATTTTTTAATATGCCCTATATTTTCTATATATTTGAGATTTATAACAGTAGCCTTTCAGATAGGAATTATTGTAATGGGGAAAAAAAAACTAGTTTAAATTTTAAAAATATAAATATGCCAGGCATGGTGCCTCAAGCCTTTAATCCCAGCACTTCAGGAGGCCAAGATGGGAGGATTGCTTGAGCCCTACTGATGAAGGTGCCCTACTGATGAAGGTGCCCTACTGATGAAGGTGCCCTATATATATAAAGTCCTAGATATAATAGGCACCTTTATCAGTAAGGAACAGGATTGTAGGACATCGTAAAGCAAAGAATGAAGTAGTCTTCTGTGTGGAAGACTATCCATAATATAGTAATATAAGTGGGGGGAGAGGTTACAGAATACATATAGCATTGACCTATTTATGTAAAATGGTTATGAGTATATAAACGTATATCTATGTGTGTAAGTGTGTACATATTTGCAGATGCATTCAGAGAAGACTGGAGAAATATACACCAAATTGGAACATTGGAAAGGGAATCTCACTTTTTTACTTCTACATTTCTTCATTGAATTTTTAAATCTTTTACAATGAGCATGTGTTATTTCTGTAAGAAAATTAAAAAATAGGCCAGATGTGGTAGCTCACACCTGTAGTCCTAGCACTTTGGGAGACTGAGGCGGGAGATCATTTGAGCTCAGGAGTTCAAGACCAGCCTGGGCAACACAGTGAGACCCCATCTATATTTTTTAAAAATGAAAAAAAAAATTAATTATTTTCTGAAGGGGAAAACAACATAAATGTGTCCAAGAAAAGAAAAATTAGAAATACTATAAAATATACTATGAGGATATGAAGTAGTATTAAAACATAAAGAACCAAATAGTGATACTTACAGAACTTGAGAGATTCATAGGTTGAGGCATTTCTGAGAAACAGAAAAAATATAGATGGGGTCTCACTGTGTTGCCCAGGCTGGTCTTGAACTCCTGAGCTCAAATGATCTCCCACCTCAGTCTCCCAAAGTGCTAGGACTACAGGTGTGAGCTACCACATCTGGCCTATTTTTTAATTTTCTTACAGAAATAACACATGCTCATTGTAAAAGATTTAAAAATTCAATGAAGAAATGTAGAAGTAAAAAAGTCTCAGTGTTAGGTAGACTAGAGACCCCAATGCTGATGAGGCAGAGGAATGTATGCAGCCATTGGTATCCTGGGTCAGCAAAATGAGGATACACGATATACAGAGATGACCACCCAAGAAGGACAAATCTGTAAGACAAAGGTCCAAGAGATCCCCACCCGTCTTCAGGAATGCTGTGCATACCAACACCTACCTTCAAGGCCTCACTCATCCCTCGGCCAATCACAAGAGTCTGTATACCTTTCTCAACAACTTCCTTCACATCTGCAGGCTGCACTCCAGGAGAATGCTGGATGCGGAAAGAGAAAGTAGACAGGTACATGCTCTCAGTCTTTCATTACAATAGATATTCTTGTGGGATTCATTCATTCAAGAAATGTGTACTGAGGTTCACTTTGTGCCAAGCATCACACATATACTCTTTAAGGCACTTCAGGAGGCTGATGAGGTAGGATCCCTTGAACCTAGGAATTCAAGACCAACTTGGATAACATGGGGAGACCGTGTCTCTACAAAAAATTAAAAATTAGCTGGGTGTGGTGGCTCATGCCTGTAGTCCCAGCTACTCAGGAGGGCTGAGTTGGGAGGACTGCTTGAGCCTAGAAGGTTGGGTCTGGAGTGAGTCATGACTGTACCACTGTACTTGATCCTGGGCAACAGAGTGAGTTCAAGAGTTCAGCTCAAAAATTAAATAAATAAAGGAAATCAGGGAAACAAGGCATTCCAATTAACAGGAAAAAGCGTTTTAAAAGGCTCAGAACCTTTTGGCGGGAACCACCATCTTCCAGTAATTTCCCAAAAAAACAAATATAACAGGAAAGAGAGACACCCAATATATGTTCTCTAGGCCTTTTAGAAAATATGGAGTTGTTCCTTTGGCCACATACATTTGAATCTATAAGACAGATGATATTGTAGACATCAAGGGAATGGGTGCTGTTCAAAAAGGAATGTCCCACAAATGTTACTGTGGCAAAACTGGAAGAGTCTACGGTATTACCCAGCATGCTGTTGGCATTGTTGTAAACAAACAAGTTACAGGCCAGATTCTTGCCAAGAGAATTAATGTGAATATTGAGCACATTAAGTGCTCTAAGAGCCAATATAGCTTCCTGAAATGTGTTCAGAAAAAGAAGGAAGCCAGACAGAAAGGTACCTGGGTTCAAATGAAACGCCAGCCTGCTCCACCCAGAGAAACACACTATGTCAGAACAAATGGGAAGGAGCCTGGGTTGCTGGAGCCTATTCCCTAGTATTTTTAAAGTAATAGACATTAGGAAGCAAAAATAAAAAAACCTCTGGACAATATATTAAAAAAAAAAAGGTGGTAGGGCATGGTGATTAACGCCTGTAATCTCAGCACTTTGGGAGGCTGAGACAGGTGGATCACCTGAGGTCAGGAGTTCACAACCAGCCTGGCCAACATGGTGAAACCCCGTCTTTACTAAAAATACAAAAATTAGCCAAGTGTGGTGGCAGATGCCTGTAATCCCAGCTATTTGGGAGGCTGAGGCAGGAGAAACACTTGAACCCAGGAGGTGGAGGTTGCAGTAAGCTGAGATCGCACCACTGCACTCCAGCCTGGGCGACAAGAGCAAGACTTTATCTCAAAAAGAAGGGCATAAAGGGAAGAAAAAAACTAGAAGAACAATTAATTCTATTCAACTTGTGTGTAGAGTTACAATTGAGGTGGGAAAAGAATGCACTTGCATTGCATGCTAAAATTTTGACTTTAGAAAAATTTTGCAACAATCTCTATACTGTTACTTTTTTCTGAACTTTCTAACCTTCCCAGCTAACTCCAGGAAACTTCTTTTTATGCTTTAAAACCTACCTATCACTCTGAGAGAAGTCTTCTGAGTCTTCCAGGCACATTTAAGGTTTAGTGTTTAACAAAGATGCATTGAGCATTATAGGATGAATTAAAGATGAATTGAGCATTAAAGGCTTCTTGTACTACCTCTACATCAGCAAAGGGAATACAGGACTTACAGTTTGGGAATACCAGCCCAACCTACTGGGCTTCTCCTGTTATGTATCTACAAAAGGACAATGCTTTTAGTACTGAAGTTCACAGAGACAAAGCATTCCTTTCCTGACCCATATACCTCTATCCTTTCATTCATTCATACAGCACTTACTGAGAACTTAACTCTGTATCAAGTCTCAGTATTTCTAAGCAGTAGAAATACTGAGATGAACCAAATGTTCCATGGAGTTTTATTCAGGTAAGGTTAGTGAAAATGTGCAAATGTTTATAGTAGGATGAGACGAAATATAGTTGAGGATCTCAGAAGTTGGAGTGAATAAACACGAGTGGGAAACTGTCATGGAAGACATGCTGTTTTAACTGGGTCTCCAAGTATGAGCATGAATAGGCCTTGATGCAATGGTTTTAGAAGGGATATATTCTAATGGTAGAGATGGTATAGGAAAAGAGCTGCTGAAATTATCAAAGAAAGAGGTAACAAATGGGCCAGAGAAAGAAGGGTTTTCCAGTTCAGGAAGAGGAGGTGTTATGGAGATAGGACTAAAATTTATATATTTATGAAAGGTATAGGGGCTGGACACAGTGGTGTACACCTGTAATCCCAGCACTTTGGGAGGCCATGGAGGGCAGATTACCTGAGGTCAGTCGCAAGATCAGCCTGGCCAACATGGTGAAACCCCATCTCTATTAAAAATACAAAGATTAGCCGGGTGTGGTGGCACATGCCTGTAATCCCAGCTACTTGGGAGGCTGAGGCAGGAGAATTGCTTGAACCCAGGAAACAGAGGTTGCAGTGAGCTGAGATCATGCCGTTGCACTCCAGCCTGGGCAACGAGCAAAACTCCATCTCAAAAAAAAAAAAAAAAGAAAGAAAAATATGGGGAGGATGAATAGGAGTTTTCATTAAATCCTGTAATAATAATGTCTTACATATTTATATTTGTAGCTTTTATTTATTTTTTTCCTTGAGATGCAGTCTTACTCTCTCCCCCAGGCTGGAGTACAAGTGGCTTGATCTTGGCTCACTGCAACCTCCGTCTCCTGGGCTCAAGTGATTCTCCTGCCTCAGACTCCCAAGTAGCTGGGATTACAGGTGTGGGCCACCATATCCAGCTATATTTTTGAATTTTTAGTGGAGATGGGATTTTACCATATTGGTCAGGCTTGTCTTAAAGTCCTGACCTCAAGTGATCCACCTGTCTCGGCCTCCCAAAATGCTGGGATTACAGATATGAGCCACAGTGCCTGGACAGTTTTTATTTTTATTTTTTTTCAGGTGCAGTTTTTATAATATAGCTATATAAATGATTCAATGTGATCTGCATAATGATCCTGTAAAATCAGCACAAAAACATCCATTCTCCTGACTTCATAGATAAGGAAACTGAAGCTCATAAAAGACATGCAACATGGCCAAGATGACACAACTGCAAAGTGGTACAGCTGGGATTTGAACTCAAGCATGTTTGAAACTTTTAATAATAGAGCTACAATATATCAGAAGACAAAAATAACAGAACTAAAGGGAGAAATAGATTATACTATAATCATAGCTAGAAATTTCAACAGCTCTTTCTTAGTAATTGACAGAATACTGAGAATAGGCAAAAAGTAGTTAAGAATACAGAAGATTTAGCTGGACATGGTGGTGCACACTTGGAGTTCCAACTACTTGGGAGGGAGGATCCCTTGAGCCCAGGAGTTTCATTCTAGCCTGGGCAATGTAGCAAGATCCTATCTCAAAAAAATAAGACTATAGATAATTTGAATTAAACTATCTACTAATTTGACATAATACACATTTATTGGTTAGTACCCCCAAACTACAGAATACACATTTTTTTCCCCAAGTATACGAGGAGCATTCATTAAGATGAGACTATATGCTGAGCATAAGGTAGGTCTCAATAAATTAAGAGGGAAATAATGAAGAATATATTATCTAACAAAATGTATTTAAGTTAGAAATTGCTAACAATAAGATATTTAGAAAAGCTACAGATAATTGGAAGTTGGACAACGAAATATTTTTGAACTGAGGGATAAAGCTTAAAAATATCAAAAACTGTGGGACACAGCTAAATAAGGTTTACAGGGAAATTTCTGGCCTTAAATACTTTCAACAAAAACAGACAGAAAAATGTAAAATCTTTGGTCTAAGCCACCTTCAAATGCTAGAAAAAGAACAGTAAAGTATACCCAAAGTAAGTAGAAGATAGAAATAAGGAAATAGGAAATAACCAATAGAGAAAATTAACAAGGCCAAAAGTTGGTTATTTGAAATAGAAAATCTGCATAGTGTTATATTGGTTAGAAGTAGAATTTACAATACTGAACTTTCCAAGGTGTGGGGTGGAGGGTGAGCGGGAACTCCAGGCATATACGACCTTGCTGGTAAATTCTCAAACATGTAATGGGCTGGGCATGGTGGCTCACGCCTGTAATCCAGGCACTTTGGAGGCCAAGGCAGGCAGATCACCTGAGGTTGGGAGTTCAAGACCAGCCTGACCAATATGGTGAAACCCATCTTTAAAAAAAAAAAAAGCAAAAAAAAAAAAAAAAAAAAAAACATGTAATGAAGATCATCAATAAAATATTAGCAAATCCAAGGTTGGTTGAACATGTAAAAATCAATGTAGTTAACCACAATATAAAGAAGAAAAAACATGTAATCATCTCAATTAATGCAGAAAAAGAACTTGACAAAGTTTACCATCTACTATTTATGATTAAAAAAAACTTTCAGCAAAATGACTGAGAGTACTAGAAGAATACTTAAAGGGCATTTACAAAAAACCTGCAACTGAACATCTAATATAATGCTGAAAATTTAAATATTTTCTCTACACTACTGGACATAATGGTTATTAGCTAGATATTTACTTCCTAATTATCTCTTGAATCTGTTCATTCCTTTCCCATCTCCACTGTCACTATCCTGGTCTAAGCTGCCATATTCCCTTTTTAGAATATTTTTATTTTGGTCACTTTTTAACTGATTTCTATATATATATATATATATATATATTTTTTTTTTTTTTTTTGAAACAGTTTTACTCTTGTCACCCAGGGTGGAGTGCAATAGTGTGATCTCTGTTCACTGCAAACTCTACCTCCCAGGTTCAAGCAATTCTGCCTCAGCCTCCCAAGTAGATGGGATTATAGGCACCTGCCACCACACCCAGCTGATTTTTTTATTGTTAGTAGAGAAGGGGTTTCACCATGTTGGCCAGGATGGTCTTGAACTCCTGCCTCAGGTGATCCACCTACCTCAGCCTCCCAAAGTGCTGGGATCATAG